TATATATATATATATATATATATATATATATATATATATATATATATATATATATATATATATATATATATATATATATATATATATATATATATATATATATATATACTTTCTTTTTTTTTTCTTTTTTATTCCTAAACCTTTAATTTAATCTTTATTAATGCAATTTAATATATACAGTTTAAATTTGTTATTTTGGATTATTTTCTTTTTAATGTCTGTACTTTTCTGACAAATATATGCAATTGGTGAGCATAAAAAATCTTACACAAACCTTCAACCTTTGAAATGTGTAACTGTTTTCAAATAAATTATAAGTTTAATGTTGTAAGTTTTTCAATGTGTTCTGTTATTACATCTGTTTGTAGTGAATAATCAGGGATTTCCACGAGTAGTAGAGTCATTCCTCTCTGGTTAAGTAAAAATAATTATCATAATAAACAGCAGCAGTAATGTGTAGTAATGTCAGCGGTGTGTTTCTAGCTAAATAGGTTCACTCTGAAAGTTGTTTGTGTTTGTAATGATTCATCTCTGATGCAGAAGTTCTGACTAATGATCTGTTCAGACATGAATATTTCAGAGCTTTAATCTTCATCTGACCCTGACACTGCATCCAGTCAGCAGCTGAATATTTCATCAGTTATCCTGTGTGTGTGAGTGCGTGAATGTGTGCGTGTGTGTGTGTGTGTACGCATTTGTCTGTGTAGGTTAGACTGTGTGTGAGTGCGTGAATGTATGTGTGTGTGTGAGAAGGAGAGAGAGAGTATGTGTGTGTGAGTGAGTCAGCATGTGTGTGCATTTTTTAAATTTCATTATTTTATTTAATTTTTAAATTTTATTTATTTTTTATTTATTTTATTTTAATTAATTAATTTATTCATTTATTTATTTACATTTTTTTAAATAAATAAATGAGTTTGAGTGTGTATGTGTGTGTGTGTGTGTGTCTGTGCGTGAAAGAGAGAGTGTGTTTGTGAGAGTGAGTCAGGGATTGTGTGCTTGTGTCTGTTTGAGTGTGAGTGTGTGAGTGTGCGTGTGTGTGTGAGTGCGTGTGTGCGTGTGTGTGCATGTGTGTGTGTGTTGGTGTACGCATTTGTCTGTGTAGGTTAGACTGTGTGTGAGTGCGTGAATGTATGTGTATGTGTGAGAAGGAGAGAGAGAGTATGTGTGTGAGTGAGTCAGCATGTGTGTCCATATGTCTGAGTTTGAGTCTGTATGTGTGTGTGTGTGTGTGTGTGTGCGTGAAAGAGAGAGTGTGTTTGTGAGAGTGAGTCAGAGATTGTGTGCTTGTGTCTGTTTGAGTGTATGTGAGAGTGTGAGTGCGTGTGTGCGTGTGTGTATGCGTGTGTGTATGTGTGTGTGTGTGTGTTTGTGCGCGCATTTGTCTGTGTAGGTGACACTGTGTGTGAGTGCATGGATGTATGCGTGTGTGAAAGAAGGAGATAGAGAGAGCGAGTGTGTGTGTGAGACAAAGAGAATGTGTGTGTTTTGTACGTGTGTGTGCTTGTGTTTGCCCGCGCTCATGTGTGTGTGTTTTATGTTATACAGTGGTGGGAGTGAAACTGAACGTGTCAGCCTGGATGAACAGCTTCATCAATGCCACCACCAAGAAAAACGTAAGCAGAACTGAGCCCTGTTTCCTTATCTGCACATGTGGAAGCTGTTTAGTCCCAAACGCTTGCAGATACTGCCGTCTGAGAGCGGAGATGAATTGACCCGCTCTAATAAACGCTGTAAAAGACTTGTTTGATGAATTCTGGCTTCTCTCCTGTCATAATTTCCTCTCTGCAGTGTAAGGATGAGATCTGCGGGTGCCTGAGGAATGATAAGGTACGGCTCTGACTGCTTCATGCTGATCTGACCTCTGTACTCACTTATCTGAAGCTGTTTTCACTCTGACTTACTGATGAATGGCTGCTTTTACTTCTCAGCAAGTGGACTGTGTGATTCTGGATGATGGAGGCTTTCTGCTCATGTCCAATCAGGAGGAATACATTCAGCAGGTAGGGTCAAGGGTGTAGATTTGGTTTTACACTAGTATATTTGTCCATATACTTTAGATTATTCAGTAACAAAGCCAAGTGTCATGGTAGTGCAGTGAGTAGCACGATCGCCTCACAGCAAGAAGATCGCTGGTTTGAGCCTTGGCTGAGTCAGTTGGCATTTTTGTGTGGAGTTTAAATGCTTGTCCCATGTTCGCGTGGGTTTCCTCCGGGTGCTCTGGTTTCCCCCACAGTCCAAAGACATGCAGTATAAGTGAATTGGGTAAGCTAAATTGTGTATGTGTTTGAATGAGAGTGCATGGGTGTTTCCCAGTGATGGGTTGCAGCTGGAAGGGCATCCGCAGTGTAAAAAATGTGCTGGATAAGTTGGCGGTTCATTCCACTGTGGCGACCCCGGTTTATTAAATGGACTAAGCTGAAAAGAAAATGAATGAATGAGTAACAAAGCCAAAACTAGAGTTAATTTAACAACATAAACCTTTTATTAGTATAAATAAAAATTAGTTAAATTAGTTAAATTAGTTAAATTAGTATACCCAAATTAATTTACATTCATTTATTTTCCTTCAGCTTTGTCTCTTTATCCCTCAGGGGTCGACACAGCAGAATGCACCGCCAACTTATAATAATTATAATAGTAATGCATTTTATTTAAAGGCACCTTTCATGACACTCAAGGTCAATGTACAGGACAGCTACAATAATCAATTCAAATAAAAACACAATAAAAGTCAATAGAATACAATGCAAACTTTAAAAATGCAGTCGGGTTAAAGAGAATTACCCAGCATTTGTTTTTTGTTTTTTACAGCAGATGCCCTTCCAGCTGCAACCCAGTACTGGGTAACATCCATACACACTCATTCACACTCATACACTACGGACAATTTAGTTTTTTAAATTCACCAGTCTTTGGACTGGGGGAAACCGGAGCACCCGGAAGAAACCCACGCAACATCCCCACAGAAATGCCAACTGACTCTGCTGGGGCTCGAACCAGTGACCTTCTTGTTGTGAGGTGACAGTGCTAACCACTGAGCCACGATGTCGCCCTAAATTAATATGTTGAGGAAAAATATTAAATAAAATTTTAATAATCAGGAAAAATCAGGAAAAACTAAATAAAATGTTTTCGTTTTTTGCAATAATTAATTTGAGTTTAAATGAATCGTTCTTTATATTTCTTAAGATGGTACTGTGACCAATTGCTCATGGTCAGTTATTTAATTATCCTTAATGGATACAAATAATTGTTTTTAAATTAAGTGGACTCATTTATGCTGAGCATATTTTTTATTATTATTACCATTTTTTTAAATATTATTTTGCCAATTTGAGGGCTAAACTATAGGTTGATTAAATTTATTACTTTACTAGTACCCCGTTAGACCCCCTTTTGCCTTCAGAACTGCCTTAATATTTCGTGGCATAGATTCAACAAGGTACGGAAAAAGTCCTCCAAGAGATTTTGGTCAATATTGTCATGATAGCATCACGCAGTTGCTGCAGATTTGTCGGCTGCACATCCATGATGCAACTCTCCTGTTCCACCACATCCCAAAGGTGCTCTATTGGATTGAGTACTGGTGACTGTGGAGGCCATTTGACTACAGTGAATTCATTATCATGTTCAAGAAACCAGTCTGAGATGATTTGCGCTTTATGACATGGTGCGTTATCCTGCTGGAAGTAACCATCAGAAAATGAGTACACTGTTGTCATAAAGGGATGGACTTGGTTAGCAGCAATACTCAGGTAGGCTGTGGTGTTGACACAATGCTCAATGGGTACTAATGGACCCAAAGTGTGCCAAGAATATATCCCCCACACCATTACACCAACACCAGCAGCCTGAACCTTTAATACAAGGCAGGAGGGATCCATGGTTTCATGTTGTTGACGCCAAATTCTCACCCTACCATTTGATTATTGCAGCAGAAATTGAGACTCATCAGACCAGGCGACATTTTTCCATTCTTCTATTGTCCCGTTTTGGTGAGCCTGTGTGAATTGTAGCCTTAGTTTCCTGTTTTTAGCTGACTGGAGTGGTACCCTGTGTGGTGTTCTACTGTTGCTCATTCGCCTCAAGGTTTGACGTGTGTTCAGAGATGCTCTTCTGCATACCTCGGTTGTAACAAGTGGTTATTTGTGTTACTGTTACCTTTCTATCAGCTCGAACCAGTCTGGCCATTCTCCTCTATTTGTCTGTAATCCCTAGAGTTGGTTGTGCATGAAATTCTCAGTAGATCAACAGTGTCTGAAATGCTCAGACAAACCCATCTGGCACCAACAACCATGCCATGTTCAAAGACACTTAAATCACCTTTCTTCCTCATTCTGATGCTCGGTTTGAACTGCAGCAGATCATCTTGTCCATGTCTACATGCCTAAATGCATTGAGTTGCTGCCATGTAATTGGCTGATTAGAAATTTGCGTTAATGAGCAGTTGGATATGTGTACCTAATAAAGTGGCCGGTAAGTTTATATACAATTACAGAAATTGAGGGCTAATCAAGAGGGCTAATAATTATGACGTTAGCAGTTTTAAAAAAAAATCCCAGTCAAACTAAAAGAAAAAAGAAGGAAATATTTTCTATAGGAGGAAAATATAAGAGAAAATACTGCACTATTAAAAATTGCAATATTAAAATACTGTATGGACAAATAGTCATGGTAGATTTTGGCGGTTACAATTTCCCCACAATCTGCATCTTTGTGTGTGACATATCTACAATAATTAGTTTTTTAATTGTAATGCTATTTGTGTTTTAACCAAAGTGTTTTTCATGCATTTCTGTGATGTGCAGATTGGTCAGTTCTTTGGTGAAGTGGATCCTGTTTTGATGATCACTCTGGTCAACACATCGCTCTACTCCTTCAATAAAACCTACGACTACCAGTCAGTCTGCGACCCTGAGAGAGAAACAAAAGCTGCCGCTGGACACAGAGCTATATATGTGGTAAGGCTGAATGAGTAATACTAAAAGTAGGGATGCAGTACCCAAGTCTATAATGTACTTTTAAAAATGTTTCATTAAAATAATAATAATAATTAATTAATAAAAAAAACAAACAGAAAAAAAACAAAACCCATAATGAATTCCATATTTCCATATTTGTTTTATTTTTAAATTTAAAAAAAAAAAATTCTCAAAATCTTATTCGTGCAAAGAATAATTGGTTGCTATAAACCTATAAAATGATTTAATGATTCAGAGTTGCATTTGATCATTAATATATTTAAATCTTAGTTGTGACTTTATTTATTTGGTTATTTAATTTTAATTTTATTTTATTAAAATAATTAAATTTAATTAAATTTAATTTAATAAATTTTTTTAATTTAATTTAATTTATTAATTATTTAAATATTTTTATTTTATTTTAATTTATTTTATTTTATTTCTTTTTTTATTATTTTGAATGGCTGGTGAGTTAGTAGCCACATTGGCTTGTGTCGAGTGACCCTGTTGCATCTGTGTTTGTATATTTGTTTTTGACAGCCAACGATAGCAGATCTGCTTACCGTGGGCTGGTGGGCTTCTACTGCCGTCTGGTAAGAAGAAATAAACACACCAATCGCTAAGAAATACACAAATGAAGGATTCCAATGTTCTCATTTGTTTGTCACTTTCTTCCTCTTAGGTCAATTTTACAGCAGCTTCTCCTCAGTCTAACTCTCCCAAACGTTATTGGGACAGGTATGCTTCAGAAAGTTCTTCAAATGCTTGCTCTTTGTTTACTACAATTAAAGAACTTCAGATATTTTATATAAGAAAGAACATTTTGCAATCAAAATTATTTAAAGTTTAATTAATTTAGCTCACTAGATGCAATGAACGTTTACATTAAACAGCAGGAGTAATGTTTACATTATTGAGTTCCTTTTTTGTCAAATATTTAAATTTAACATTTCTTCAGTCAGCATTTTGTATCATGTATGTAATTATAAAGTGGAAATAAATGGAGCTCATGAGGAGGAAGGGCTGCAATATTATAAAAAAAGTCCTTGCATTATTCCTTTGACTATTTTAGTAATGATTATTAACGTTGATTAATAGAATATATGTAAAAATTGTGTAAACAAGCATGTCATAACCACCACACAAAGCATTTCAGTTAGATGTGTGAAAGTTATGCAAAACATCCTATTTTGTAATCACTAGCTGTGAAATGAAACTACACTGTCAAAATATCTTGCTGACTTAGGGTGCTTTCACACCTAGACTTTTGTTTCGGAACCCGGGTGTGTTTCCCCCGTTAGCACGGTTTGTTTGGCATATGTGAATCCAGCAATCACACTTACATCCGCGCCAAAACAATCGGCCCAAGATCGCCTGGATGAGGCTGTCTCAGCTTGATTAAAACGAAATCTGCAGCAGATCGATTGTAGTGAGAAAGCAATGCAATCCGAACCAGGCTATATCACAGTGTATTATGGATATGTAATAGGCATATACGGCTACATAAAGAGAGAATTATGAGTAGGGATGAATGTCATTCCTACAGGTAAATGTGCGTTTCATGTCAAATACGAAAGTGAAAGCATGTTAACTATTAACGAGAGCTGTTTATCTGTTAGGAAAATTGACCCAACAGCAGTATTAGGTTTTTCTGTTATTTCTCTCTATATTGTAAAGCCTGTAATGCGTAATTCCAGCCAACAGCTATGTGTGAGAAAGTCTAAGCCATAATTTATATCTGGTGATGATGTCTGTGGGTTTTCCCAGAGATGGGTTGTGGCTGGAAGGGCATCCGCTGCGTAAAAACTTGCTAGATAAGTTGGCGGTTCATTCCGCTGTGGCGACCCCGGATTAATTAAGGGACTAAGCCGACAAGAAAATGAATGAATGAATGAATATCTGTGGGTGTCACCATTCAAAATGAAAGCACAGCTTTTCGCTTATATGGTCTTATTGCCCATCGTCATAAATTAAAATAAGGACGCTTGACAGCTGAGTGGGACTCTGTAAAATAAACCGTGGAACTCTGACCAATGTGAGGAGAGTTTACTTGCACGTGACTTGTTTAAGCTATTTTGGTCTGTTTAGAACCTGGAACTGCACCAAGAGCAAAGTGCAATATTGTAACAGTTTTAATCCCTGTTTCAGAACAAAAGAATCGATCCACAGGTGTGAAAGCAACCTTAATTTTTTTAGCCGAATCAAATTAATTTACAACTTTAACGTCACTTATAACATCAAGCAAACCTGACGGAAAAACTTTGTATAATTAAAAAAAAATTGCTAAAGCATTATTAACGTATTAAAATCAGTTAAATCAACATAAAATATATAGGTTGTCTTGACTTTGTGTTTTTTGACAATTTTTACAGTATACATAATTTATGTAGTTTGTTGTTTTTGATTTTAATTATGAAAAAGCACAGAATTCTGTCATTGACTGAATATGCAATCAGAAAAACATCTGCGTTTTCAGTGCTGACTAATCAAATGCGTCTGATAGGCTACTGTGTTCATAAGCTCAACAGAAGCGTGTGTGATTGGTTGAAAGCTTTGGCTTTGCAACAACAAAAACAAAAAATTTAATTTCATCCATTTCATTCATTTTCACTTTAATCACAACATTTGTAGTAGTTGACCATTTTATTCATTTTCTTGTCGTTATTTTATCCGTATTGTATATATTTAGACGTATGCATGTCATTAAAATCTGTATAGTGTATTTATACATACAAAATACCATATTTTATGTTAAATACCTAACATAAAATACATGTATAAATAGAGGTGTCAAAGTATTTCGCATGAGTTCTCTTCCAGTGAGTCTTTCAGATGACAATAAAATGTTAAATTATAGTTTGTATGCATGAATTGAAAGTATAGTTCAACCAAAAATTACAGTTGTCATCATTTACTCACCCTTTACTTGTTACAAACCTGTTTCTTTCCTATGTTGAACACAAATGAAGATATTTTAAGAAAGCTGGAAACCTTTAACTAGTGACTTCTATAGGAAAAAAAACAAATACTATGGAAGTCAATGGTTACAGGCTTTCAGCGTTCTTCAAATTTTCTTATGTGTTCAGTGCAAGCAAGAAACTGTTAGTTATTATTTTCAATATTTATTCATTATTTTCCCTGTTTAACAGAAGAGATGTTTTGAAGAATGTTTAAAACCTGTAACCATTGACTTCCACAATATTAGTTTTTTCTACTATGAAAGTCAATGGTTAAAGGTTTTCAGCTTTTTTCAAAATATCTTTTGCATTCAATAGAAACAAAAACTATTTTTTTTTTTTGTTTTTGTTTTTTTTTGTTATTTTTCCTGTTTAACTGAAGAGATGTTTTGAAGATGGTTAGAAACCTCTAACCATTGACTTCGACAGTACTTGTTTTTTCCTACTATGGAAGTCAGTAGTTTTCAGCTTTCTTCAAAATATCTTCTGTGTTCAATAGAAACAGGAAACTATTTGTTATTTTTATTTTCCTTGTTTGACAGAAGAGATGATTTGAAGAATGTTTCAAACCTGTAACCACTGACTTCTATAGTATTTGTTTTTCCTACTATAGAAGTCAATGGGTACAGGTTTTCAGCTTTCTTCAAAATATCTTCTGTGTTTAATAGAAACAGGAAACTATTTCTTAGGTTTATTCATTATTTTCCGTGTTTAAGAGAAGAGATGTTTTGAGGAATATTAGAAACCTGTAATCATTGACTTCCATAGTATATGTTTTTCCTACTATGGAAGTCAGTAGTTACACGTTTTCAGTTTTCTTCAAAATATCTTCTGTGTTCAACGAAAACAAGAAACATTTTGTAATTTTTATTTGTTATTTTTCCTGTTTGATAGAAGAGATGTTTTGAGGAATGTTAGAAACATGTAACCATTGACTTCCATAGTAGTTGTTTTTCCTGCTTTGGAAGTCAATGCTTACAGGTTTTCAGCTTTCTTCGAAATATCTTCTGTGTTCAATGGAAACAAGAAACTATATATATCTATTATACATATATTCCCCTGTTTAACTGAAGAAATGTTTTAAAGACTGTTAGAAACCTGTAACCATTGACTTACATGGTATTTGTTTTTCCTACTGAGGAAGTCAATAGTTAAGCTTTAAGCTTTCTTCTTAATGTCTTCTTGTGTGTTTAGCAGAAGAAAGAAACTCTTAAAGGTTTATATAAAGGTAAATAGTGAGTAAATGTTCATTTTGGGGTGAACTGTCCCTTTAAGTGAAGCTTCATTGTACACATTTGCACTGATTTCATGCAAATCAATGAAGCTGTGAAAATGCTCAAGAACTGATGGTTCAAAAGGAACAAAGTGAGCAAACAAACACTGTTCAAGTTCTTGATACTGTATGTAGTTGATCCGCATGTGTGTTTTGATATATATACAGCATGCGGATGGTGTGTGTTTGTGTGTTTCCAGTGTACTCGGAGGATGACCTCTCGGATGCGTTCTCCAAAGAGAGCTGTATCACCGAACAGACTCAGTATTTCTTTGAGAATGAGAACAAATCTTTCTCTGGAGCTATGGACTGTGGAAACTGCTCCAGGTGAGGACCATTTTTATGTTTGCACGCGCATAAATCCATCCGCATTCCCTCCGTTGGTGCGCGTGTGGGAGTGTGCGTGTGAGCATGTGCAGATGATGTCACTGTCTCTTCCTGGATAATTGCTCATCCCGGTAAGTCATCTCTCCAAGGGCAGAGCAGCTCAGCTTTCCTTCTCTTTTCCACTCCGTCCCCTTCTTCCCTGGATCCGTCCGAGGCCGTAAATCCCGCCGGCCACGCTGTTTAATGTAACACCGCTAAAGCGAAACGTGTTGGGGTGGGTGAGGGCGTTCGGCCTGACAGAAACTCTACGCCTTTCTTTACGAGTCCCACGTGTGACTCTGCGTACGATAGTTTTTCTTCTATGTTAACTACTTTCGACATGTAAAGTTTAACAAGAGCCATAAAGAGAAATCCATTTGTGAGATCTCAGGAGCTGGAGACCTGAGCTTCGGCGTATGTAACTCAATCTCGCTCACAGAGACATCAACACCAGCTCAGGATAAAGGAACGCATGTAGTGATGAGAGGGACCGCAGGAGCTGCCAGCAGACAAAAGAGGATGGCTTCAACAGAACATCAAGCAGGCTGTAGCAAATTAGACTTTGTTTTACATTAGTTAAGTGCTTCTTTGGATATTAGATTTTATGTAGTGTGTAATATAAAGGGCTCTATTTTGACGGTCCATGCGCAAAAAGCAAAACGCAGGCCGCAAACGCTTTCAGGGCATGTCAGAATGCATTTTTGCTAACTTAAGGACGGGAAAATCCGCTTTGCGCCATGGCTTATGGTCTAAAAGGGTTGAGTTTATTTTCTTAATAAGTTATAGGTGTGTTTTGAGAATAAACCAATCAGAGTCTCATCTTCCATTACCTTTAAGAGCCAGCTGCATCGCGCCATAAGTGCATTGCTATTAACATGACGTAAAGTAAGTTCACTTTCGCTTTTGCTCTCGTGGATAGGGAAACCTTACAGCACAGACATCAATTAGCCTATAAATTATTAATTTCGTTTGTTAAGCGCAAAGATTTGTTTCAAAACTATTTTTAAATTCAGTTCTAATTTTAAGCAAACGAATAAATGATTATTAATAACAAAGTTTGGTCAAAATACTGAGTTATTTCCAAATACACCTGCTATGCCCCATATGGTCTAAAACCTGACAGGTGGACAAATCTAAACTTGTTTTTAATAAAACAAATATAAATATGGATATAATAAATAATACTGCTAATAATAATAACATTATACAAAAGCAAATTGAATGAACTGAAAAAGCCTCCCGAGATGAAAAAAGTATGAAGGCAGTGGTTTTTAAATTCATGTAGGCTAGAAATTAACATGTTTTGTAATATTTTAATCATTTATATTTATATCCTATATATATCCTTATTATATCCTATATATATCCGTAATATATTATATTTTTTCATATGTAAAGATATTTGCGTATTGCATCTTGTGTGTAGGTACTTTGCGCCTTACAATAGACCGACTTTGTTCTGGTCTAAAGAACAGACTATTTACAGTTTCTCAAAATAGCAACGCACCAAAACACGCTTGCATTTTTAGACGAGAATGCCTATGGGCGCACATTTGAGCGCAAATGCATTTGCTATTTAGACAGCGTGGAGCAATGCCTCAAAATGACCCTTGCGCCAAGCTTAAAGTAGTAAAAGACTATTGTGCTGCGCCTTGCGCCACATTGCGCCGGGTGTATGATAGGGCCCGAAGAGTTCACAGAGAATGAAATCCAGTGGAAATGAAGCTGTGTCTCTGATTCTTGAGTAGTTGGTTATCATTTGGGGTTGGTAAATTGAAACTTTTAAAATGGTACCAGTAACAAAACAGTGCCTGAACCGATACTTTTGAACCACAAAATTATGGTGGATGACCCTCGAAAAATATTTTATTTGACAAAAAATATATTAATCATTTAAATTAAACATTATAATTAAGGTTTAAAGTATACATCAATTTATATTTTTTTATATTTGAATTGAATTGCATTAATATCTTTCTTTTAATCATTTGTTTGTTAGCATGAATTTAAGATTTGCATTATACAATAACATTGAATTTGCTTACTGCTAACCTGTGTAAAAGCTGTCATCAAAATCAGAAAACACCTTTTTTAGGGTGAGGGCTTGTGACTTTGTTTACACATCAGTAATCTAATGATTTGCCTTAATCTGAATAAGACAATCACCCCTATTCTTGAGTAGTCAGTAAGTCCAGATTTACTTCCTACACTTCACAGTCATGGTCTCTTTAACCCTGCTGGCACCTTGATGTCAAAATGACATCAAAAACACGTTAAAAATGCAAATGGATCAAAACTCCATAAACCACAATTTCCAACAGTTATTTGGTTTACTTTTCTTTTTCTTTAGACATTGTTGATTAAATTTATGTAAAGGTATTTCTTGGTTGAGTCTGATTTGTGATGTATTCACTTTATGTTATGCCTTTGAGCCAGCTCGTAACAGATGGCAGTTGACTACCTTGATGTCAAAACAACATCAAATTGACATCTAACGTGTGCATCAAAAATCGATTACAAGATTGTCATGTAATTGATTTTTGAAGTAAATGGTAGACGTTAATTTGATATAATTTTGACATCAAGGCGGTGTCAAAAAGATACAGAGTCCAGTTTTGCTATTTAAAATTAAAGCTTTCTGGTGAACAAACTTTTTTTCATTCAAAGGCCATCAATGTGCGGATGTCAAATAGACATCAAGGTTTTGACATCAAATCGATTTGCATTACTGATGTGTTTTTTGATGTCATGTTGTTTTGAAATTTAGGTGACTTCTGGGGATTTATCTACTGTAGATCAGGGGTGTCAAACTCAATTCCTGGAGGGCCGAAGCCCTGCACAGTTTAGTTCCAACCCTGCTCCAACACACTTACCTGTAGGTTTCAAACAAGCCTGAAGGACTCAATTAGTTTGATCAGGTGTGTTTAATTTGGGTTGGAACTAAACTGTGCAGAGCTGCGGCCCTTTTGGAACTGAGTTTGATACCTGTGATCTAGATTAATCACAAATTCAAAATATAATCAGTGTCCAACATAAGACTGATGGTCACTTTAAAACACAACCTAAAAACAACCAAATAACAACGTCTAATGATATTACAGCTTAATGTTGTGTGGACATTACCACTATGACTTCATGTTGAATTTTGGTTGCCATACCTGATAAATAAATGTCAGTTTTTGACATCAATGTGATGTTGGTTTTAGGTTGTGTTTCCTACACAACCTAAAAACAACCAAATATCAACGTTTAATGACGTTACAGCTTGACATTGTGTGGACGTTACCACTATGACATCATGTTGAATTTTGGTTGCCATGCCTGATGAATAAATGTCAGTATTTGACGTCAATAGGACGTTGGTTTAAGATGTTGGCTTGATGTTGCATTTTGGTCACTTTTCAACACAACCTAAAAACAACCAAGCAACAACATCTTATGATGTCACAGTTTGACGTTGTGTGAAAGTTATCACTATGATGTCATGTTGGATTTTGATTGCTATACTTGATGAATAAATGTCAGTATTTGACGTCAATATGACGTTGGTTTAAGATGTTGGCTCTTTGTTGGATTTTGGTCACTCTCCAACACAACCTAAAATCAACAAAATATCAACATCATTGGATGTCGTTATTGGACATAAAAATAACGTTGTCCTTAGACGCTGGATAGACAATGAATTTTGGTCACTTGACATCATGACTAAAATCTAACCCAATATTAAAGAGCCCATATTATACATGAAATAGGGTCATATCTTGGTTGTAAGGGTCTCCAACAACAGTCTATTATGCATGCAAGGTCAAAAAACACTTTCATGGTCTTATAATCTGCATTTATTTTTACCTAATTATCCCAGTGACTCCCGTATGAATCGTCCAGTGATTCATTTGTTCCCAAACCCCTCCTTAGCGCGAAGCTAATCTGCGCTAATTGGACCGATGACAGCCTGTTGCGATTGGTCGACTGCCTTCAGTCAGAGAGTAAAATGCACAACAGCTAATCAGCAATATAAAAGTAATCACAGTTCATACACGCTCGATAGTGTAGGCGTGGATTTTAGATGCCAGTGGGTCAATGTAAATACAGTCGATGGACTTTAAAATTCAGACGATTAACTATTTTATTGAGCAAAAACTCCAAAAACTGTCGAGAAGATCTCCACTCTGCTCTTTTCACAGACACAAACACACACACACACACACATTGCCATCTTCCGCGCACACAAACACAAAAACACACACATACCTCCGGACGACAGCGCACACACACACACACTACCCTCATCCACGGAGCTCCGTAAACAAAGTAGCACGCTTCACGTGACTTTGCGCGCGATAAGAGAATTTAGCCAGTTAACCTGATACAGTACACGCGGTTACAAGTAACAAATCACAACTAAATACATTTGCAAGCTAGAGTCAACGAGGCAACAACTTTAATCGCACGTACTTACACTTGAGGAATGGAGGAAGAAACCCATCCTGACGTCCATCAGTAAGTTACTCTTTACTGATCCTTCCTTTAACAAACGCCGATGATGTATTCTTTGTAGCATGTAGTTTCCAGAAGTTTCCAACTGCTTGGTTATAATGCTGAGGTTTCATCTTTGGGTAGATGCTCGATTATATCCATCTGCAGTGTGACTTCAATCGACCGGCATGTTTGTGTGCGTGTGTGTCTGCGTTTCTGCGTCAGAGGGCGGGGCCTCAGGTTTGAAATCTCCCGGGTTTGCGCGTGCACGTGAATAACTTGGTTTCGTTCGTACGTCATGGCGAAACACCTAATGACTCGGGATCAAGGAGACTCGTTTGAAGCACTATGAGTCGACTCTTTTATAGATGAATCAACCGTTATAAACACTGTACTCTTGCAGATTTAAGCCTTAGCTGGATACTTCACTTCAATTTGAGCTGTGTTACACACTACATGGAGGGGAATTTTCAAAAACCCATAAT